CTTTTATCATTGATCGAGGCCACGCCCTCCCCCGGAATGAGTAACAGTGCAAAGCTCTTCACTATTCCAGTGCAAAAGGAATTTATCCCCATGGAACATAGACATTATCTAACATCAAGAGAAATACGGTGCATGGTGCCTAATAATATAAACCAAACCTGTGTTGTCTTACTAAACACACCCACTAACAGTTTACTTATGCTTTTATACATACATATTATAAAATATCAGTCATCTATGCAAAATAAATATTTGTGATATCCAAACCACATTAATTCAAAAATATATACAGCCACAGGGATGCCAATATTTCCCAATCCCTCAACTATAAATCTCACTTCTTTATGGTTGTTTGAAAAGTGTGTGAGAAAGAGAGGTTTGATCCAAATACTTGTGCAACATTACTTGCTGAAAATATTACTTGCTGTGTGCCAGTGTAAACGGTGTTGAGTTTCAATTTACTAAAAAGAATCATTGCAGCAACAAGAAAATACACTGTAATGGAAAATAACAAAGCTTGGTTATGTCTTATGTCATGCAAGAACTGATTACATGGTTTGTTTGCTGCCTTTGTTTCTGGTGGGTCTTGATGAAATGTTGACTAATTTCTATACATGCGAGATGTTTTGTTTAACTCTATGAGACAGACTGATTCTGAAACAGATAAAGGAAGCAAGAAGGCCTCTACAAACATGTCAGAGCTTTTCAGAAATGTGCAGTCACAAGAGAATTTTTGTACAGTATTTCTCTGTGCATTTCCCTTCATTGTGACACAAAGTTACTATAGCCATTGCAATGGCCAGAATGTACAATTTTTCAGAAATATGTACATCCTTTGTACATCCTTTTTATACCAAACCCAAGGAAGGGGGAAATAATCATAACTGGCTCCTTTGTTTGATCATTCTTCTGTATTTTGAGGGAGGAGCGAACAAACCTTTGAATTGCCCAATCAAAACTACACATATCACGTGCATTTTACATCAATTTGTTTGTTTGTTTGTTTTTAACCCGCCTTTCTCCTTAAAAAGGACCCAAGGTGGCTTACCACAATCAAGAGACAGCATTTAAGTTAGTAACAATGACTATACTGAAAGGATCAATGTATACAAAACCGAAAAACATTAGCAGCACCAAAAGCACATTCAAAGCAGTAAGACACAACAATCCATATTAAAAACCCTGCTCAGGCAGCCAGTCACTTAGGGAAAGCTTGCCTGCACAGAAAGGTCTTCACTTGCTTGCAGAAGGACAGTAAAGATGGAGCCAGTGTGGCCTCCTGTGGGAGGGAGTTCATGAGCTAGAGAGGAAGGGAGGGAGTAAGATGGCATCGCATGCAGGGAGGTGGCAAGAAGCTATCAGGTGGGCTTGGTTAGGGGAGCCATGATACACTAATTACATATATGTGCCCCATTACATATTATATGTTAATTACATATAATATGTAATTACATATAATTACATACAATGTGGAAAGCTTAATTCCATGCTCTATTTTCCTGGCAGTAAATTAGCTCAAACTCCAAAGATCTTTAAAAAACATATTCTGTATTAGATTATTTGCAATGTTGGTTCAATTCTTTTTTTAAAAAAGTCTGCCAGTTGAATCATCAGCTGCAAAACAGAGACATCTGTTGTTAGGAACAACATATCAGCAACAATTTAAATAAGTGTTTTAAACAAATGAATTAATTCAGAATTGATCTACACTCTATAATTTCGTGGGCTGGAGAAAATTGTGTCCTTTATTTTTGGCATAGTATTTGAATTTGAGCTGATTACTTGTAAAATAAATAATGATATTTTGCCTAGTTTGTTCTTCTGAATTTTGGAGATCCAGCTTTAATTACTGTCATTTGTTTACTGGGTAATGGCCGATAGCTGAAACACAAATGATGAACTTGGTTGTACTAAGTGTTGTAATAAAAAGGAATCTTAGATAACAATTTACCTGCATTTCTTTTCTGAATCTGAAAAAGAAAAAAAAAGAAATGCTGTGATTATAGTTGTTGTTTAACTGCTTCTGACTGCAGATAGTGGATGTAACTGCACACTTGAGATAAAAATTATGTTACTGAATTCTGCCTAGAGATAGTAGTTAGACTACTGTAATGCACTTTATGAAGAACTGCCCTTGAAGACAACCCAGATGCTGCAGTCAGTGTAATCTGCAGCAGCTAAACTGCTAGCAGGAAGACCTTTCAGATACCATGTGAAACCAGTTCCAAAAAATTGCATTGGCTGCCAAAATGCTGCCACGTCCAAGTTCAAGGCTTTGATGATAAACCATAAAGCTGCCCAAACAGTTCGAGATCCGGGTACTTGAGGCAATGCCTCTCCTGCCTGATCACTGAGATCTGCTGGGGGAAGAAGACTCCTTTGTGTCCTGCCATGGAGAACAATCCACTATGTATGTTAACAACAGCATTTATGGAATGCCCTTAGAGGCTTGGCTGGTCTGCCAAGTTAGCATACGGTGATTAAGGTAGCGGATTGCAAAAGCTTCCTTATTGCTACCGGTTTTAATGTAAATAGTGTACAGTATATAGTTTTAAATGTTTTTAAAACATTGGATTGTTTTTATATTGTTTTTATTGCTGTAGTCCACCCCGAGATCATAACATACAGGGCAGAATATACATGTTCTAAACAAATAAAAATAGTTTGTCCAGCATGGGCTTTTTTCACAGTACATCTATATCACAGGTAGCACAGTTTTTGGAGGGAAGGGCATTGATGCAAGGAGAAGTCACCACTTTGGTATAGAGGGAAGTCATCACATCTTGAATTGTCTATGGTTTTCATTTACTTACCAAAGCAGCACCTGGTATGTTACTAAAACCACTAGACTCGAACTCTCTTTCGATACGCTACTGGCACAAAAAATTAATGTAGAACTCGGTGGGTTTTTATGGGAACATCCAGACATTGTCTCCAGTTTGCCAGACGCTCCTCTTTTTGTTTCTTCTTCCTGCTGTTCCTTCCAGATTTTTATTTCTTACAAAAACTTAAGAGAAAGACCGAACAGCTACACAACACCTTTTGTGTTCACAACAGAAGCCCTCCATGTGGAAGCACTTTAAATTTGAGAAATCCTACAATTAAAGAAGACAGGAGGGCCCGGCACGCTCTGGTCCATGGGATCACGAAGAGTCGTATGCCACTAAACAACTAAACAACGACAACAATTAAACCAGAATTCAGGAAGGGTGGAATGCAAGATAGACTTGAACCTAAGGACAATAAATGAAGAAAATGTGTTGAGAAACTTGTTCCTCCTCATCTTTTTACCCAGCCATTCTAACCATTGCCATTACGTTACCCATTTAGCAAGCATCAGGCAGCATCACCAATAGAAAATACGCTAGGCTTGCCAAAAAATAATAAGCATCCCAATTACCCCCTGCAGTCTTCTAATTCAACTGCATGTCACATTACTGGTGGAACTGCTGTGATTAACTGGATTATGTATACAGTAGTGGCCTTGTGAACTCAATCTGAGAAAATATAGAATAAACACTACCAGCAGGGATGCTGTGTAGATTGGAATGAGAGCCCAGTGTAGTCTCTAGTGAATAGAGTGATGGACTTGGTCTCTGAAGACCAGGGTTCGAATCCACACTGTGCCATGGAAACACATGGGGGGGGAGTGGGGCTGGTAAAACCACTCCTTAAACACCTCACTTACCTTGAAAAGCCCTGGCAGGGTCAGTGTCAGTCAGTTCTGACTCGATGGCGCAGAATACACCCACCCACCTACCCACCAGCAGGGATGCGGCTTAGAAGGCAAGGCAATGCAAGGCAAGGCGACAAGGCTCCTCCTCCTCCTCCTCCAGCTTCCAGCCAGCCTTGCCTTCTTCCAGGATCCTCCGTTCTGTCCCCGCGCTTCCCCGTCCTTCTGCTCTCAGCCTCGGTGTGCCGCGGCCACCGAACAGGTTCCGTCTGCATGGGCTGCGAGGGCGGCGTGGGGGACTGTTTAATAAAGTGATTTGTCTCCTCAGGTAACTGAAGTTACTAAACACTTCTGCAAACTTGGGAGTCCCGTTCCTCCCCCCCCCACCCGCGCCCAGCCCTGTGTCCCTCACCCTTGTGTGCCTGAATAGTGTGGCCTCGTTTTAAGGATCAGCACTTGGGAGTCCGCAGCACAAGGGGGGGGGGCGCTCGGGGAAGGAAGGGAAGCGAGGTCGCCGACCTAGGCGGGACTCGCTGGCTCCTCTCGGCACCTGCAGAGACCCGCCGAGGGAGGGAGAGGGTTGGCCGCGTCCCAAGCGAGGGCGCAGAGAGAGGGCGAAGCGCAGAAAAGGGAGCGAGCGAATGCCTCCCGCCGCTCCGAAGCGCCGCCCGAAGCTTCTCGGTGGCAACGCGGGCCCGCGACCCTCCCGCGTTTCCCCCCCCCCACGAAGGTCAGAGGCCGCCTTTCGCTTTCGCTCTTGGCGCTTCCCGGCGGAGCCGTGTCTGTTCTCGCTCATCTCTCTCCCTCCTAAGGCCGAGGAAGAGGAGCAGGGCAGGGCGGTCGTGCGCCAGCCTGGCCCCGAAGAGAGGCTTCCTATTCAGAGCCCCGGAAGAAAGCGAAAGCCCTAACCGCCCCCCCCTCAAAAAAATAAGACACACACGACACGCACGCACACACATGCAACACGCGCGTCTTGCTCTTCTACTGATTGAAGCGATTAATGGCATCTTTCCGGGATGCAGAATGTGTCCGGAGTGGTGTTTGATACTTCAAAAAGTCAACTCTCCCTGTCCCCACCCCCATCCCACCTCATCCTCGGGCCAGTCATTTGTTTGAATTGAACGCATTTATTTATTTATTTATTTATTTATTTATTTATTTATTTCTGAATGGGGGGGTGGGGCGGGGGGGACTGGCCGGCAACCTCCCGGGACAGCCTTCTCCCGGCAACAACTTGCGCTCCCAGCCCGGAGGGAGGCGGAAAAACCTGCCATTGGTCGCCCGCCTCCACCAATAGGCTGCGCTCAGCTTGTCCTCGGCACTCGAGGAGCCCGACAGCGCGGCTTGCGCCGAAGAGCCTGGGAAAGCGCCCGAGGCGGTCAACGGCGCGGGGCGGGGGAGGCGGATTGACTGCCGGCGCGAAGGCTGGCGTGGCCCTCCGGCCTCCTTGCTTGGCCGCTGCCGCGCCTCCGTCTGCTGCTGGAGGATGAGGAAGGCGCTTCGGCGTCGCCGCCCCACCTGCCCGGTGGCTCGGCTCCCGGTCGTCGTCCTCGCCGCCGCCGCCGCCACCCTGAGTTGCTGCTGGGCAGGTAAAACCGAGACCCTTGGGCGCTTCGCCCCTTGCCTTGGCACCGGAGTCTGGCCACCTGGGGTGGGTGGAGGGGCGGGGCCGAGCGGCGTTCCCGAGGCTGGGGGGGCGGGGGAGGGGGGGAAGAAACCCCCCCCGGCGGGGAAGGAGGCCCTCCCGCTGAGGAAGCGGAAAGTGGAGCTCGGTTGGGGCTCCCGAGCACGAAAACGCTACGGGACGGCGGCGCCGGAGTGGAAGGGAGCCCGGCGTTCTTCGGGAGGACGGGAGGGAAAGCCTGCTTGGAGTTCCACCCGGGCGGAAAGGAAGGCGCTGAAGGCACCGGGGGAGTGCCTTTGCTGAGCAGGCGGGGTGGCGAGGTGCCGGTTCCAGGTGGCGGGGCTTTTTTTTTGGCGTCAGCGTTTCAGGAACCGAGAAGAGGGTCCGTGTCTTCCTCAGAGAAGCGGAGAAAAAAAAAACCGGGTGGGCGTCTCCGCGGTGGGCGGAATTTCCCTGGAAAGATCCCCGGCGCACAGAAAGTTGCCCATTCGCGGCTGGAGGGGGGGAGAGGTGCCGCGAGAACGGAGCTTCCTGGCCGGGGGGGGGATTTCGTCCTGTCCCCAGAAGCCTGCCCAGGCTCGGGGAAGAGTTTTCCGTTTGCGCTTCGGACGATGGGAAGAAAGTCCGGAGCCGTGACTTGAAGGAAAAAAAAGAGTTTTGAAAACTCCGGGACACGTGTGTTGCAGGGCAGGCAGGGCTCTGGCCGGTAAACCCCGGGAAGTACTGACTTATCGCCTTGGTGCATGTGCAGAGAGTCCCATTTCCCCTGGGAAGCGGGCAGGCGGCTTTCGCCAGGCCCCGGGGCACGGCCGCCCTCCTTCCCTCCCGGGCGCTAAAGGTCAACCTGTCCCGCGAGGGGCCCTCGCTTCGCGGCGCTCGGAGTGGTTTCCGTTTCGCTTCTGCGGGAGGTGGCCCGACGGGTTCCCTCTCCTCTTCCTTCGGGCCGCGCCTGCTTTGCCCTTTCGCCCGGGGTCGCTTCGACGAGAAAGCCTCCCTCACAAACAACCTGACTCCGGGGCCCCAAAGGCTTGCCAGCCTCCGGTTTCTTTCAGTTGGCACAGGGAGGCGGGCATTGCCTGGGCGGGCGAAGGGGAATTCCACCAGCAGACTGGAGCCACACGACAAGTTGTGGGGTGAAAAAGTGGGAAGGAGGCAGTCCCTCTCACTTAATTCCCCTTCAGGACACAGCAGATTTCACTGAGGTGTGCTTGAACCCTTCTTCCCCCTCAAGAAAACACAGCGCTCACTAAAACATTTTACCTGACAGGCAGAAGTTCAACAGAGACAGCCTCCTTCTCATCATTGCATTTCCTAGTTACCAATAGTTGTTGCTGTGTTTCATTTCCACTCACAGGGAAGTGGGTGAAGACACTGAAGCTGTGCCAGGCAAAATGGTTGGTGGCCAAGATGGCTCCCTTCCCCCTCACCTCAGCCGCACTAGTCTGGCAATGGGTGCCATACTCCAGTACATGGTGGCAGTCTTGTGCAGTAACTTTTTTAAAAAAAGGGTCAAGCTCAGTGATTTCAGCCTGGTCAAGAATGGCCCAGGAGTCCAGGACTAACTGAGGCAGAACAACAATTGCCACACAGTCAGTAAAGTCAAAGTTTAGTTCCTAAAGCCAGCCTAGTTGTTTTTACACCTGACACCCAATATATCACAGCTGCTGCTTCCCATCCTTGGCATAGAAATACAATGACCAGGGTCTTTTTGTGTGAATAACAATGGTATGTCAGTGCATCTCAGAGAAGGTGATTTTCTGCTTCCCTCAGGAAGACCATTATTTTCCCACATCAGGGTGCTTGCCTACCTCTAGGCGTTGCATGGGGAGGGGAGATCCACCACTTCATGATTTTCTCACAGGCTTTTCCTTGTTACTGAAATGAGCAAACAGGATAAAATAATAAAAAAAATGAAATAACAAAAAACAGGGTGCGCTTTTATAGCATCCACATTCTATCTGTGATAGTTACCTCACTCTGCTTAATGGTAGGACCAGCCCTGGTTTCCGGTCAACAAACAACTTTAGACAATTCAGGTCCTATTCATATCTCCACTACTATGAACATCAGACTGGAGGTTGATGGGATTAAAATCAATGCCAATAGTATGGATTTTCTAGCTGTTTTTGAACTGAAATGTTCCATTAACCTGAATTCATTTGGATCAGGAAGTGAAAGGTGTGGTATGTTAATTTTACATACAGTATGTACTAGGTGATAGGAATCCGTAAAACTTCCATCACCAGCAATCCTGAACTCACAGAATAGGTCTTACAGAAGCTAGTGAAACTTAGTTCTGAATACATACTGTTAATGTGGTTTGAATGTTATATGCAGACATATTCAAACCATTTTTTATTGTTGGAATATTTCAAAATACTTTAAAATGTGGCAGCTGAATAGCATGTGTTTTTCTTACATTGGTTAAATTTCAAAAGTTAAAAATAAAGGCACTGAAAACTGTTAGCAGACTCATTTTAACATGCCCACAGAGTTATGGATTAGATATACCACCGATTGGCACAGAGAGCACAATCCATAAGAATTGATATCAGACAAATTTCCTACTTTTGCAGGATCCCCCACATTACTGAATAATGAAAAGGGAACAAATGTGTTAAAAACAGATTACAGTCAACTCTGGGGATATTGAGCCATGTTTACAGGAAGTATGAACTGCTTGAGAGAGTGGTTTAGGTATCTGGCTGTGGAGCTAATGGTTGGGAGTTCAGTTCCCACTGTGCCTTCTTGATGGGTCCTGGACTTGATGATCTATAGGGTCCCTTCCCGCTCTGCAGTTCTAAGATTAATATTATTATTTGCTACATCCATGGTAGGTTAATTGATCAGATCTCTATAAGCTAAAAGGCAGTTCTGCAAACTGGTATCTGGTAGTTCAGATGACAGATCAAGGTTAGCAGAATGCACACTGAGAAAAAGAGTATGCAAAACTAGGTAGAACATGGTATCAGGTGTCTCTTTTCTCCTTTTGGACTAGTAGTGAAGTACTAAATCTGCAATCTCTGAATCTACTACATCTCTTTCATAGATATTTCCCAAGCGTTTATCTGACTTTTTGCAAGAGTTACAGTTTTTCAGTGTAATATGTCACCTTTAATTGTTGCAGAACTGGAATGTCCAACCTTAATTTTGTCCCAGTGCAGTTTAATAATATGTTTAGTTTCATAGTGCTAAATAAAGAATCTTCTAAATTCAGGTGCAGCAGTACTTAGTGGAACCTGACAGGCCAGTCATTAAACTGATTCACATTCGCAGTCCCAGGACCTGTGGTGTATGGGAGAGTCACTTGATCTTATTTCGCAGGTTGTCCTGCATTGGAACTTAGGGACTCTAGACAATATCAAACAATTCTTAAGGTGAGAGGGTGAGAAATGCTTTGCTTGCAGGGTTGTAGCTAGGCTATTTTTTCAGGTCACCTATCAACACTTGGCGCCCATTGCCCTAATTTGTTCAAATTTACTTTGTTTTTGTACCTGTAGCCGCCAGATACTTCCACATTGCAGAAGAGGCTTCCAGCTGCATTCTCTTTAGAAAAAGGACATTTACTTTCATTTCTTTCTAGCAGGAAAAACTAGTGCAGCTTCGTAGAAAAGCAAGGTTAAGGGAAGGTGGTGGAAAAAACACGTTGACAGCTTTAGCTCAAGATATACCACAATAAGTCCTACAAAGAAATGGGTGGTTTCTTTTTTGCCGTGCCTCTGTATACCCAGCAACAATCTGAGGCTTGAAGTTGCAACATATAGATGTTACCCACATAGCCAATCTGTCTTTGTAGGAAACTTGTTTTTCCTTTCCCTACCTATATACATACCTAACAGTTCGAAGTCTCTTCCGTTAATGGGCATTTTCTAGTTAACTTAAGTGAGCTTATTTGCAAGTTGCAAATACGAAAGACCATCCAACGGATACCGTGTTTGCTTTGATCTGCTTGTTTTCCTCTGTGCACTAATGCTGCTAACCCTGTCACCAGCTTTGCTCCCCCAGCCGTTAGAGATATGTCCCAGGTGTCTTTCCTGCCTCAAGGCTAGCACCGTGGGAGAGCACAGGTGCCATACAACTAACTGTTGCTCAGCACAGTGTTGAGCAGTTGTGCCCGAGACTTTTCTACCTTCTCATCTAGCTTTAAAAGCAACAGGCTTTTGAAAGGTAAGAAGCAAGAATTAAAAACTGGTGCCTAGAACACAACATAAGTAGCCCTTCACAGCTCAGTTCCTATTGTAGGCAAAGATTTACTATGTTTCCAGAAAGATAGTTAGTCCATAACCTGCCCACAGTAAGCAGCTTACAACAAGCATTGTTTGTGAAACAATTAAAACATGGAGCTAAAAAAGCTAACTACCAGTCAAAAGGCATTGTGCAGCTGTTTCATCATTGTCCCTTAAGGGCTTTTTGAAAATACCACAAAGTCACTAAAGAAACAGTAAGGAGACCAAAGGAAAGTTACAAATGGAAACCAGTGACATCTAATAAAATTGTGTCAGGCTGACTGTAGAGTAGAAGCCTCATCTGGAAGTACTGTTCATCTCTCAGTTGCTGTCCACAATAGCTGCCAGCCCCATGCTGAATATCCTTTTTTTCCCATGACTATGCATGTCAGATATATTATCTCATCATTCCTTACTTTTTCCCCCCGACTATCCATGTCAGATATATTATCTCATCATTCCTTGCATCAGGGCTGTGAGATCAATATATAGTATCCATCTTTCAAAAAAGAGTGATTGAGGACTGTATAGCATCCATCTTTCAAAAAAGAGTGATTGAGGATGAGGTCACTTAATGTCCATGATTCAGGTAAGAGGCTCTGGTTTAGCTGGAGACTTCTTAGCTTACACGTTGTTTTTTGTTTTTGTTGTTTTTTGTTGTTTTTTGGGTTACCTCAGATGTCTAGGAAACATACTCAGGCTACGAACAGGAAATACCTCAGATGTCTAGGGAAACATACTCAGGCTACGAACAGGAAATAAAAGAGGGAGCCAAAACCTGATTCGCACTTGCCCACCCACCCCAATACCTAATGATTAAAAGCATAAGCAGATCCCGTAGTAGAGCAATGCCTGACCCCCTCCCTGTTAAAGTTGAGAAGGCAGCTTAAAACACAGCTTTTCAGGGAGGCCCTCCACACTGACCCTGCCTCATTTTATGCCTCTTGTCCTGCTGTTATACAAATTGCGTATGTTGCCACTTGTTTTTCCCCCCCATCAGATGTTTTAAATTGTCATTGTTTCATAGAATACTAGAATACTGAAGTTGGAAGGGGCCTCTAATGCCATCAAATCCAACCCACTGCTCGATGTGGATACACAATCAAAGGATATCTACCAAGTGTTTTATTAGTATTTGTTTTATTTACTGTTGCAAACCACCCAGGATAGTGCATTACACTAATGGGAAATAAATAAATATTCAGCAATGACTGCTCAGCAAGCACTCCTTGTTGAATAACTTTCCACTAAAGAAAAATAGCATGTTCCAAAATACATGTTTATTGGTGGACCGTAGCCCACTTCTTGAGATGCTAAGTATACTGTGTGCCCTCTCGTTTATCATATGATGTCAGGATTTTATTTTAGTGTGTTTATAGGCATCCCTTTTCTTTCCTTACTGCAGATCTCCTCTTAGTTGCTCAGCCATCTAGTTTGGAGAAATCTTTCAGCATTTTTTTCTGGTTGCTAAGAATGTCCTTATTCTGAATAATTTGGTATCATTTCTAAATAAATTCTTAATCATTTTAATGGCAAATATTATAATACAGATTCTTGAAAGTTCTGCTGTTTGGATTGTTCCAAATATGGGGAAAACAATTGACTATGTTCTTCTCCTTTGTTTCTGGTAACTAGTTACCAAAACCATAAAAACCAACCAAACAAAAAAGTTCCTTTATACTGTGACTGACTGCCGTCTTTGATGAATGGCTTTTCAAAAGCATTATTTAAAAAACATGCTTAGTGACTTTCTAATCAGCTCTGTGGAGAAACTCTTAGCTTTTACTAGAATAAGTAATTGTGTATGGCAACCAGGCAGTGCAGGATGTTCGTGCATTTAATTTAGTACTGAAAAATCCAGTGTGTTCCTGGTATTTCCTAGGATTTTTGCTCACTGCTTTTTAGTTGTAAAGCAGGCTCTCTGCTCTAACATGCTCAAAGAATAATGAAGAAATGGGCTGTCCCTGTTCATCCTGAGCTGTTCTCTCTTCTTGGTACCAGAAAACCATGACATGCAATCCATCTGCAGGCAAAGGCAGCCAGTGTCCAGGTACCTTAACTGACCTGTAGTAATAAAAGGAAGCCCACTGTGACTGAAAGTGGACGAGGCGCTTGCTGTTTGCTGGGAGTAGTCCATTTGCAGTGGAAAAAACGTTCATGCCAAATTGTGTTAACTCAGCCCTTCTTGATGCTCTGTTCTCTTGATTGAACATACTTGTTTAACTTTTTATATTTGGGAGCACTGAGTGACTTCAATGGTGCTGAACTGCAGGATCTTAGACGACTGACTGATCCTGTGGAGACAGGAGAAGAATAAATATTTCTGTCATAAGATTAAACCTCACAAGAAGGGCCCCAAAAGTCTCTGGAATAACGTATTGCCACTCTTAAATACAAGGCTGGTTATACCTACAGATGGATTTCTCTTGGGCTTCATTTTCAGAAAGCAGCAAAAGTAAAGATATTTTTTTTGTGTGTGTCAGAGGAAACAGTGAACAATAAAACAAATAGTTCAGAGCTGCCCTGTGTATTCATGAATTTATTTTTCAGAATGTGTTGTTGGCCACAAAAATCCTGCTCAGTTCATTACATCTCTTAGAACCTTGCAGTTTTGTCTTGTCTTGTTTGCATTATCCTTTATGTAATATTAATGGAGCAAGCCATTATACTATGCAATGTCAAAGATAAGGTTTTAATCAATTCCTGGCTGATTCAAAAAGACATTCATCCATAAGAAGTTTTAAAAACACACAGAGAAAGATGTCATAACCTTCTGTTAACAGCAAAACCACACAGGAAAAGGCAGGCTATGTTGTATTACGAAGGAAAGCATAAATATTTGATCAGCCACTCAGTAAAAATCTAACATAAAGTTAACAGGCTCTTGTTTTACTAATGAAAGGGAAGAACATGAAGACGGTACATTTCCAGGGCCATGTCTTTCTGTTAAGTTAACAGCCTGGATGTGAACTATTCTGGCATGCCCCCTGCCCTCATAATTATTTGTGTAGGATTGTTGTGAAGTTTATTTTGTTTATTTATTTATCTGAGCATTCCACAACCTGATCCTGCCGTGGGTGGCATTTTAGAAATGAAATAATACTTGCGTAGTGCATTTCAGCTGGATGCATTAAACATAGTACAATTGTTTTCTTTCAGCAAATTGCTAGAGGCATGACTCAAGGGAATGTGCCCTGAGTGGGCTGTGAGTGCACAAATACACCTTTCTCTAGCTAGGAAAAGCTTTGTTTACAAAATACAGACATTCAGGCCAATACATTCTCAGTGAATATCTCAAGCCCCAATTATTTTGCCGTTTTGCATGGTGTCAAATGAAGTCCTGTGAATGTTCCATAGCTTTCTACAGTTTCCAAAATATAAGTTTCACTCTCAGTCACATTTTTTTCTTTATTTGCATTTTATTTCTGCCCCTCCTTTCTCCCGAAATGTTCTCCCTGAGACTCAAGTTCCCTGAGTTCTCCCTGAGACTCCCTGTAACTTACAACAAGATTTTCTAAGAGAGATAAAAACAAAACTGATTTAAAAGTAATTTAAATGGAACTCCACAAAGTACAGTGCCTACTAGATGTCCAGTTCCCTTCCACAGCAACCAGCTAGGTGCCAAAACCCAAACTGAACGAAGGGTCTTTGCCTGCCAGCAGAAAGGCAACATGGAGGGGGCCAGCCTAGCCTCTCTCATGAGAGACTTCTCAGAAACTGGGAGAAATCATTGAGAAAAGCCGTTTTCTTTTCCCAGCAAATGTCCTTCAGAAGATGACACTATTAAGAAAAAGATTTGAAGATCTAAAAGTCCAGGCAGGTTTCAGCTAGTTCTGTTAACCTCCTATTTGGGTTATTGCGATGTATGTTTTTTGAAACTATATTTAAAAATGGCCTGGAAGCTTCACCTAACCCAGGGTAGATCTGCAAGATATTTAATGGACATAGTATAGTTCAAAGACACAGACTTTGTCTTAGAACTGCAGAGCTGGAAGGGATCATAGGGAGCCAGATACCTGAACCAGTGAAGTTATCGTGCAGTTCAGCTGTTTTTCCATCTTTCTCTCCTCCCAGTCTGTTTCTGGATCTAGCTGAAAGTTTTGTTCATTAGCCGTCCTTGACATCTCCAGATTGGGGGAAAAATAGGGCCTAAAACACTAGAAAGCCACAGCCTGTAAGTATAATCACTGTTGAGGTGGATAGACCAATTGCTTAACTTAACGTAACAGCACTTTTGAAGTTTCAGTGTTTCAGTAAATCTTCTGTACAATGTTTTCACTATATTATATCTCACTGACTACAAGTAATGGAGGGAAATCACCAAAGCATCTACCTTTGTTTCTATGCAGATGACAATATCTTTACCATTCGCCATGAAAAAACCAAGAAGTGCATCCAGGTTAAAAACCAGCAGATAACAGCAGATGACTGCAATGAGACGAAAGAGACTTTATGGACGTGGGTCTCTGAACATCGCCTTTTTAACTTGGGATCCCAAAAATGCCTTGGACTAGATACTACTAAATCCCAGAATCCCTTGAAAATGGTAGATTGTGATTCAGACATTACACTGTGGTGGAGATGTTCTGATGCCACCATATATTCTGCCTCTCGGAACAAGCTTACCTTGAAGGACAGAATTATAACTGTAAGCATGGATTCTTCTGATACCTGGAGAAGAAGCAATTCCAGTGATGTTATTTGTAAAATTCCATACAGTAGTAAGTATTTTCTTGGGTTGTTTAACTGGGCAAAAAGAGAGATTGAGACATGAGCTTCCCTATATTCCTTTAGTAAATTACTTAAGATGGAACTGTTCAGGGAGGCCTTTGGCAATATCTAATATGACTTCCGTCACCTGTTGTTCTATTTCATTTTTCAGACTGAAGTTTTATCTTTTTCATTTGTTGTGTTGGATTATATTTACAGTGGTGCCTCGCATTACGACGTTAATTCGTTTCAGCGAACCCGGTTAATGTATTCCTATGGGCTGTAAACTCACCATCCAGTAAAGATCCTCCATAGTGCGGCCATTTTCGCTGCCTGTGCAGCGAGGAATTCGTCTCAGAAAATAGCGGGCGGCCATTTTGTTTACCTGGTGGCCATTTTGAAACCGCCGATCAGCTGTTAAAAAATCATTGCTTTGCGAGAATCAGTTCCTGAAGCAGGGAACCGATCATCGCAAAGCAAAATTCCCCCATAGGAAACATCGTTTTGCAATCACAAAAACATCGACGTCAAGCGGTTTCATTGTTAAACGGAGCACCCGTCTTGCGGGGCACCACTGTATTTACTTTTGATCTATTCTAAAATAGCGTTTGTTGCTGGTGTCTGCTGATGGTTGTTTTTCTTTTAATTATACAGTTTGATTGGGATGTGGGTTTTTGTTTTGTTTTGTTTTTTTGTTTGATTATAGGGTATATCGATATTTTGTAAACTGCTGCAAGTTGTGATTTCAACTTTGAGTAGTATTTAAGTGTAAATAAATAAGCAAATGGGTTAAAAGCTGATTCGAGATGCGTTCATAGCAAAGACTGCTTCACAAAGTACACAAATTCAAGGTTTGCTTTCTAATGAAAGTTAAACTGCAATTGTGGCAGATCTCCACTTACCAGTGAGTGCATCTATGCTATATGCATATTTGGAAACATGTTTTCTTGTGTTCATGCTTTACATTTTAAAGTGTAAAAATATTTTTTTAAAACTGCATTACACTTAATGGCTTGAATCCTGTTCCTTAATGTAGTAAGTCTCAACTAGAGTCGGCCGATTGAATCAGAAGACGAGATGGAGGAGTTGATTTACCAAATCCCCACTGACTCAGTGGGCCTACTGTAGTTGTTACTTACAATGCTGAGCAATAAGATTTCATTTAAAGCATCCTAAATGTCCATGTAACTTGTATAGGAAGTGTTACTAAATCTAACGAACAAAGTCATGTTCCAGGCTTAGATCCATAGAGTGCTTTTGCCTACATTTTTCATGGAATAGTGCTTTAGGAGGAGCTTTAGGGAAGGCAGCATTAGAAGTGAGAAGCCTGTGTGCCTTTGGGAGGCTCTCCATTTGTCCAAACAGCTCCAGCTAAATTTACGCATTACAGAGATTAATTCCTATATTGAGATTAAAGGATAGAGTAGACTGCTCGTAAAGAGTGTTTCTGTTGATAGATGAGGAAAGTGTTATACCTGATTATTGCTTGTGTGAGGCTTTTCTAGCACTGTTTTTGTTGATATTTAAAGGAGCTCAGAATCTTTGCTTGCACTTAAAGCAACAGAGATTTTGGTATTAGCTGAAAAAAATTAGGATTTAATTCTTCCATGGCCACATTATACTGAGGCTTGGGTTCGTTCGTTCGTTCGTTTAGTCGTTTAGTCGTGTCTGACTCTTCGTGACCCCATGGACCAGAACACGCCAGGCCCTCCTGTCTTCCACTGCCTCCCAGAGTTGTGTCAAATTCATGTTGGTTGCTTCGCAGACACTGTCCAGCCATCTCATCCTCGGTCGTCCCCTTCTCCTCTTGCCATCACACTTTCCTAACATCAGGGTTTTTTCCAAGGAGTCTTCTCTTCTCATGAGATGGCCAGTGAACACTCAGGGTTGATTTCCTTTAGAATTGATAGGTTTGTTCTCCTTGCAGTCCAGGGGATTCTCAAGAGCCTCCTCCAGCACCACAATTCAAAGGCATCAATTCTTCGGCGGTCTGCTTTCTTTATGGTCCAGCTCTCACTTCCATACATCACGACAGGAAAAACCATAGCTTTGACTATTCGGACTTTTGTTGGCAAGGTGATGTCTCTGCTTTTCAAGATGCTGTCCAGATTTGTCATCGCTTGCCTCCCAAGAAGAAGGCGCCTTTTAATTTCAGGGCTGCTGTCTCCATCTGCAGTGATCATGGAGCCCAGGAAGATAAAATTTGACACTGCCTCCATATCTTCCCCTTCAGTTTCCCAGGAGGTGATGGGGCCAGTGGCCATGATCTTAGTTTTTTTGATGTTGAGTTTCAGACCATTTTTTGCACTCTCCTCTTTCACTCTCATTACAAGGTTCTTTAATTCCTCCTCACTTTCTGCCATCAGAGTGGTATCATCTGCATATCGGAGGTTGTTGATATTTCTTCCGGCAATCTTAATTCCGGCTTGGGTTTCTTCCAGTCCAGCCTTCCGCATGATGTATTCTGCATATAAGTTAAATAAGCTGGGGGACAATATACAGCCTTGCCGTACTCCTTTCCCAATTTTGAACCACTCAGTTGTTCCATGACCAGTTCTAACTGTTGCTTCCTGTCCCACATATAGGTTTCTCAGGAGACAGATAAAGTGGTCAGGCACTCCCATTTCTTTAAGAACTTGCCATAGTCTGCTGTGGTCCACACAGTCAAAGGCTTTCGCATAGTCAATGAAGCAGAAGTAGATATTTTTCTGGAACTCTCTGGCTTTCTCCATAATCCAGCGCAAGTTAGCAATTTGGTCTCGAGTTCCTCTGCCTCTTCGGAATCCAGCTTGTACTTCTGGGAGTTCTCGGTCCACATACTGCTGAAGCCTACCTTGCAGGATTTTGAGCATAACCTTGCTAGCGTGCGAAATGAGTGCAATTGTACGGTAGTTGGAGCATTCTTTGGCACTGCCTTTCTTTGGGATTGGGATGTAGACTGATCTTTTCCAATCCTCTGGCCACTGTTGAGTTTTCCAAACTTGCTGGCATATTGAATGTAGCACCTTAACAGCATCATCTTTCAAGATTTTAAATAGTTCAACTGGAATGCCATCACCTCCACTGGCCTTGTTGTTAGCCAGGCTTTCTAAGGCCCACTTGACTTCACTCTCCAGGATGTCTGGCTCAAGGTCAGCAACTACATTGTCTGCATTGTCCGTAGTTCACTGATGCCCAGGATGTCGATGTTTATTCTTGCCATCTCCTGTTTGACCACCTCCAGCTTCCCAAGGTTCATACGTAGGTCTTACATTCCAGGTTTCTATGCAGTATTTTTCTTTGCAACACTGGACTTTCCTTTCACTTCCAGGCATGTCCACAGCTGAGCGTCCTTTTGGCTTTGGCCCAACCACTTCATTAGCTCTGGAGTTACTTGTACTTGTCCTCCGCTCTTCCTCAGTAGCATGTTGGACGCCTTCCGACCTGAGGGGCCCATCTTCCAGCTTCATATCTTTTAGCCTTTTGTTTCTGATCATGGGGCGTTCTTGGCAAAGATACTGGAGTGGCATTGCCATTTCCTACTCCAGGTGGATTGCGTTTATTCGGAACTCTCCACTACCACCTGTCCATCTTGGGTGTCCCTGCACGGCATAGCCCATAGCTTCTCTGAGTTACTCAAGCCCCTTCGCCATGACAAGGCAGCAATCCATGAAGAGGGAGGCTTGGGTTAGCATAGCATAAACAGCCTTAGGTAGCTTCTCTTCTGTCCATAAAAGAGGAGGAGGATGTCAGAGGCGAGGACTTCAGGGAAGGGCAAGGGAGCAATCCATGAAGGGGGGGAGGCTTGGGTTAGCGTAGCATAAACAGCCTTAGCTAGCTTCTCTTCTGTCCATAAAAGAGGATGATGATGTCAGAGGCGAGGACTTCAGGGAAGGGGGTCCACTTCCAGCATCATCTTCCCCTCACCTCTGGGATTCTAGCTCTCATGGCCAGAAAGATTTGCCCCCCTCCAACTTGGAAAATGCTAGCCTATGGGTTTCACAGCTAATACCAACAGCAATTGTTTAGTTCTAAAAATATGTTCCCTAAAACAGGTAAATCCTGTCCTGTAAAATAAGAAATGCCAGATACAAGAGACCAGGAAGTTCTAATGTATATCCATTACTTGAGTAATACAGCAGTGTACAAAAAATATGAATGAGGAGAAATGATGTAATTTCCCTGTGCATTATATGAGAGTCAATTGTCTCTCCAGCTACAAAGTAATAATTTTATCTAGACACTTTAGCCCTCCTAACTTCAAGCTGTTGCAAATATTTTGTCCATAGTTTTATCATAAAGAATGTTTGAAAAAAATCCATTTGCAAGAAATAATATGTATTATTTGGCTTTTAGTTCAGATTTAGGGTTTTGTTTTGTTTTGTTTTTGGTCCTGCCTTTCTGTTATAAAATATTCTCAGGAGACATTTAGGAAACATCAAAAGATGTATAGGCCATTTTTTTTAACCTTTAATAACCCTCCCGCATAGCTCTGCAATGGGTACTTGGCCAGAGCTTGGGAGCTCTGTTCCCCACTGCATCTCTTGCAAACAGAGCTAGCCTGCATAGTCTTGAGCAAGCTGTGTAGTCCCACTGTGCCCCCAGAAATGGTAGGGTAAAGTAAACCAACTCTGAAGCTGGCTGGATAGCTCTGTGCATTAGGCATCTGGCTGCAGAGCCAGAGGTTAGGAGTTTGATTTCCCACCGTGCATCCAAAAAGAGCCAGCCTGTGTGGCTTTGGGCACACTGCACAGTCCCAAGATGACCCCAGAGGAAGGGATTGGTAACCCACTTCTGAGTACAGTGGTGCCTCGCACAGCGAGGTTAATCCATTCCGGATTAACCCTCGTTGTGTGAAAGCATCATTGAACGGAACGTAAAAAACCATTGGAACGCATTAAACATGGTTTAATGCATTCCAATTGGGCTGAATCCTCACTGTTCAGCGATGCTTCAGGATGGCCAGCAGCCATTTTCGCGCCCTCCCCTCACTTTACGAGGGTGCGAAAACACTGCGCGTGGCCATTTTGGG